CTCACTTAGGTCCAAATATTCCCCTTAGGACATGTTCGGAGACTAATTTATGAAAGATGTGGCCTGTACTTTTCTAAAATTCAGTTGGTATGACTGACATGTTACAAAGCGGAGTTGAACAGGGGGACATGTAATTATGTAGCTGGAATGTTTTGCACGAAGCTTTAACCCTGGAAACTTAGTTTTGTATAATTGGCATATTCGCATTTTTGCAGTTCAGACACTCATGCCCTCATCGGTATTCATCCCTGGGATCCTAGGTCCAACGCATACATCCCCATCGGCTAATATGGACCTTCCAATGTCTTATTACAGCGCCCCACGTAGATCTACTTAGAGGGGCGGTGCTATGGGTTGATTCCCCGCGTAATGAATGCTACCAAGTATGTGAGATTTCAGGTAGATTGCGTTTTGGGGGAACACACTGCCTTCATTTTGGGGGCTGACTTCAGATGTTTCATCCCCACGTGATGTTGATATCATTTCAGTTATTACACGCACATCCATCTTCTTCCAGAAGTAAGGCATCTTCCATTGCCTGCGACCTTTCTAAAATAAACGTGTGACCCTTTAAAGGAACCAGAAACGTTCTCTGGGATGCCACGGAGAAACCGGGGAAGCCCCCGGAGGAAAACTCCGTGTTGCCTAGACCACGGCCTTGCCCAACACAAGTTATAAGTTCAGGCACCGGGAATCGAAACCGAGACCCCCAGTATTACAAGGCCAGCGTTCTAACCGCTAGACCACTGTGGCGGTGAGAGACCTATTGTTTTATAATGTATTCTTATTCTGAAATTCCCGACCTGAAGAAGTGAATTTGCTTTGACGCTGCTCCGTGAGAACCCAGATGGTATTTCGTTTATACATTTGCCTGGAAACAACGGAACAAATGTGATGTAGGTCGAAATAAGAGACACACGTATTATTGCTGTTCTGCCGAATTGCGGGCTAGGCTTGTCACTCTACGCGATTTGTTGCGCTCCCTGGTCTAAAAGACATCTACCACATTCTGTCAGCTGAATTGTGCGCGCTGAATAGTCACTGTTTGCTCTTGCAGACAGTTTAAACATTCTGTAATCATTACTGTCTACAAGACTGGTTCAATAGAAAAAGACTGGATTTTAGTGTAGAATTTATACACGACTTTTTGTCATCCCCCCACACGTCATTTCTGACTGGTACTTGGTGTTCTGTGCC